AAAATAGAGTATCGTGAAACGAAGATACCATATAATGGATTTTGCTTCATAGTAATTGGCGACGCCGGTCAAAACATTGACCTTGAAAAATTCCCACGGAGTTATTACAAATTGTCCATAGCAATAGCTGTCAATAGCGATTGCGATTACAGAAACGATCCCAAAAATGAAGAAATAGTCTCTTATTAGCTGGTTAATGGTTTTGCCACAATAACAAATGTGATATAAGCATAATGGAGCACAAATAATTGCTGAGGTAGGTTTAATGAAGAACATAAAACCGACTAGCCATAGGAACTTGGATCCATGCTCGTTCTTATTTTTCAATGGAAATATTGATAAAGTTATCGTCATCAATGAAGCTTCCAGGGTATTTTCAAGTGTTCTTGTAGAACAATACTGCCAGAATGCGTTGAATAGTAAAAATAACGCTGTAATTTTTCGGTTCCATTTGAAAAATCGGTATTCAGCAAACCCAGTTAACACAGCTTGAAATATTCTTGGTGAATAAATAATCATCAGTGGAGAGTCCAAATCGAGGATGGCAAGAATGCAATGTCACTGGCGAATCAGTGGATTTCACTGATACACCAGTGAAATTGCATCACTGGTTGGAATCAGTGAACTTCCACTGGTGAACCAGCGGAATTCCACTGATTCCTTTTAAGAGAGTACACATCCATAAATATCTACTTCCATTTCAGCTGCCAAATGGCCTTTTTAAATTTTTTTTTTTTTTTAATTGCATCATCCTTGTTGTCAAAAATGAATAAGAATTCATTAGAATAATCATTTTTACTTAGTTATATAAAGTTTTTATTTACAGTAATATACTCGTCACTAATATTGCTTACAGCTTTTATTAGTCTTGTTAATATGAATACATATTTTCTAAAACAGAATCATTTCTTGTTCATTAATTAAGAAGTAATCAAGTATTATAAATACAGTATTTCGACATTATAAATTTATGCATTCAAAATGCAATATATTATTTATTTTTGAAATGCTTAAAGTTTAAAGTTATTGGATCACATGGGGGTCACCCGAGAAAAAATGTTTCTATATAATCATATATAATTGTATATAATCATATATGATTATATATGGAATCACATATATAATTATATAGAATTATATATAATTATATATAATTA